TTTTTTTTTCTCTAGCTGTTGAGCAGCTTTCACTTGACTATTTTCTGTGCCAACCCTTCCGCCCTGATTCATGCTCTCGGCCGCTCTTTAACAGACTATTTTTCAGTTGTGCACTGAGTATCCTAGCCTTAAGTGAAAGCGAGGCTGGAGTTTCAATAGAGATCTTACATCTTTAAAGATAAAAATCATGCACTTGCGTATGAATGGCACTGAAGTTTCTATCAAAACAAAGTCTTCGCCGGTGTGTTTTGTCTTTCTGAAGATTAAAACTTAAGGCCTGTCCAAACATTGTATCGCTCGATGGCTTTGAGCTTATATCTCATTTTCAAAGCGACAATTGTCAAATAATGCAACTCCCCTCCATAAAAAAACGCGGGTTTCCCAAAACGACGTTTAAGCCATGCGATTTGCCACGTCGTAAAGTTTCCAAAGCCCGTCAAGACTTCGCTACCCCTCCCAAAGGTCTTCACGAAAGTGTGTACGTACTTTGATGTCACAAACCTAAGTCTCTCTTACTGATGGATTAGCAAGAATTCTTACCCATGGGACTTTGCTAGTGCTCATCTGTGCGCCTGCATCTGCAACTACTTTAAGGAGAGACGATGAAACTTTTTGTGTAGAAAGTGGCTTCATCTACTTCTCTTCTCTCTAACACCATGAAAACAAGAAGCCTCCTAATCTAACTATTTTAAATCGATGTATATAGCGCTCAGCGTGTTAAAAAACCGATATTTATATGTCACTTATGTGCATATAGCAAATGTCTTAATAACTTTAAATTATATTCCTTTGAGAGATAATGGCATTCGTAATTCTTAATTCTTATCGAAACTCATTATGTACATGCATCTATGTATGTATGAGCATGACGCATTCAACGAAAGGAATACCCCTAAAACGAGGTTAAACGAAATTTTGTACATTGAAAAAATGTTATTACCTTCCCTATCTTGCCGTTTATTACCAGAATTGACTTCCCGAAAGAACCGTTTGATTGCTTATTATGTACTCTACAGAATAAACATAGCTGGTGTCTATACGGGGGTCTGTGAGAATCGCCTAAACGGTTCTTAAAAATTTTGCTTCGTGGAAAATAGTTAGTCGATATTCTTCGTGCTCGACTCATAGAGTTTGTCTTAGCGAAACTAGTATTATTATAAAAAAATAAAACAAAAGCGTATTGCAATTTGTGTTTAGAAAGTAATGACTTCTCGCCACATCATTGTAACAAAATGTAGCTAAAATGTGCTTGGAGAGTAACTGAGAAACTACGAAAAAAAAACACAGTTGGTGAATAAAATTAACCTCCCATTATCTTATCAGGCTGCCATGAAAAGTCTCGATCCGATAAATTTCCAGGAGAGTGACATTTGAGTATAAGAAACTTGATATGTACCAAGTAAGTACCGTACCTGTTTTGATTAAGGGACGGACCATTAGAAAACTTATGGGGGGGGGGGGTTCGAGCGAAGTAGAAACAAAATATTCGCGCAAGGGAAAAGTAAATGAAAAAAATTCATGCACGCCAATTAACCCTAAGAAATATTCATGCTACGGCCGTCTTTTTTTGCTACCTTTTCCGAAGAAGAAATTTTAGCGGCAAATAAAGCAGTTTTACCAACAAGTACAAGAAAGAAACAAGTTTGGCTTATGTCCCTTTCTACTTTTAGGTAGAAAATCATTTTCTGGCAGAATTTTCAGCAAAGAGACCCGCGGAACCACTGTCAATTAAAAGGAAAATAAAGCACTATTTCTATTTACAAAACTAACTGATTCGTCAAATATGTAAACAACGATCCCTCTAAGGGACGCCTTCCGTCATCCACCATTGTAACCTGCCCTTCCGGGGGATAGCTGTATACTATTCTATCCTTAAATAATAAAATAAACGAAACACGGGTTATCTTACAGCTTTTCCATGAAAGAAAGATCGGTGAATATTCCTGGCGGGAGCTTCTCGATTTTGCTTGAAGATAAATCCCTGCAGCAAAATTAAAGTGAAGTAAGTCAATCGCATCATGCAAACGGCCTGGGCAAAAAATATTCCATCGAAGATCTGAATTGATTAACAGCTTGCCAATGTAAATACCACATGGATCTTACACGAACAAATCAAAGAACTAACAAAATAAAACAATCCGAGATGTTCAATTCTGGCTAACTACCTTTTTACCAATTCGAGTTATTTTAGAACAATAGATAGAGGATATAATTGTATTTTAGTGACAACAACGATAGTAATAATAATAATAATAATAATAATAATAATAATAATAATAATAATAATAATAATAATAATAATAATAATAATAATGATTATTATTATTAAAATCGTTATAGGGAGACACCGTGGGCTCATTTTTATGCATTTACTTTAAGTGTATGCACGAAGTAAAACGACTGGTATCGACAGGTTTACGAGATATTCATAACTGGAAAAAAGAGAGGCGCATAATTTAAAGTGTTCACATGAACGTGTAACACGCAGACTGCGAACAAAATGCTTATTCACAAGTAACAAACGGTCTCTGAATCAAACTTTGTTTCAGTGTAATTTTCAATAATATGGAAATAAAAATGAAGGAACCTTAAGAAATTGCAACCAAATTTAATACCAAAACTCTTTGTAAGTTTTTTTTTTTTTTTCGCTTCAAAAATCCTTGAAAACATTGCAAAAACCAAAATATATTAAAACGCGGAATGTGAAACCATATAATTACCAAAATTACATATCTTGCTCAGTACTCGTGCTTTTGTCGGGACACCTACGGGAGTGTCAAAATTGAAATTTTCGGACAATTTTGCGTCCAAGAATTCATCACAGATACAAAACTTGACGAACTCGCAACTTGGCAGACTGTAGTGTGTTATCTGTATTGGGCGGAATTTTGAAAGAGCGCTTACATAAAAAGATATAGAGCGTTAATTATAATTTCAGGGATGAAAGTCTTTGCTCATTTAAACGACTATATCTTGCTGACAAACTGTAAATTGCAAAATATGTCCAATACATGACACACTAGAGGTTTAGATAGGTTATCTACTAATAAAATCATACAGTGCTGTATTTTATTCTTTCGGCAAACTTGGACACAAAATCACGATTTCTTAGTTTGGACAACTGTGACTTTAAGCATCGCTGTAAAGCGCGATCTAGCGATCTACCGAAAAAAAAAACATTTCTCCTAAACTTCCATCATTTCACGAGGTCTCTGCAAAATCATATCTAAATCGCCTCTAATTATAAGAGAGCCGACGTATAAGCGTTTTGAAAGATGAGGCACAAGCAAAATTTTCCTCATAGATAGGTGTCCCACATGGCCTTAAGTCAATTTTAGAACCGTAAAAGTATTGAAAAGCAGACGTTTTGAGCACAAGCCCTTCGTTAGATCGAATCAAGGGATTCGAGAATGTGTTTGCATATGGTTGTGTAAAGGCAACGATATTGGAGGCCGCGAACATGACAAAGTGTAAAATAATAATAAATTAGTCGATAGAACAGCGTTTATTGTTGATTTTGTGGGGAATTTGAGTGCCCGCGATTTAAAAGACGAAGGTTTACAAGGCTCTGCATGTGATTCCTTGGTGTAAAAAAACCTTGAATGTGTTCACGGTGGCTTGAACAATCAGAACAATGCGGAAGGTTGAAAGAGCTACAATGCATCAGGTTTTGATGAATTCGACATTTGTCGCCCTGTAATCTCACTGATTGCCCAAGTGCATCTTATTCAACTGCGTGCCACAGCTTTAGATAAAGTTTAAGAAGGTGAATGCGTAAAAATTTCTCAGTTACATTGTGAATGAAAGGGCAAGTTTCGCATTGTATACGCGGTCATTTGAAAGTCCCAGGTTGATCGTCAGTTTCAAAAGCGCTCATAACTAGAAGGCTACGTTCTTTTCTCGTTAAAATAAAACAAGTAGTAGTGAGAAAATTTTTAATTTCTTTTGGGGTCATTTTGGAGCATTTGATAGTCTAACAAGACATAAATAGCGGCCCAAAGTTGTAAAATAAGAAAACAATAGGCCAATTAATCTAAGGTAAGTAGATTATACACTTACAATTTAGTGGTTGTAGTTGGAATGCAATTCCAGTTATTTGTTATGTTGCTTCTTCTACAGTCGTGTTTGTTGGTTAATTGGCCAAAACGTGTTATCGAACCTGTACTGTTACACAAATGCTTGCAATCTGCAAAAGGAATAGACGCTTGAATGAGGCAATTTGTAGGGGAATTAAATTTTTTCAAGAAAGCGAATGGGATACACTTCGATACGCATTATTAAAAGTCAATAACCAACTTTCATGTGTGCACATTGACCAAGGATGAATCCCAAATTTTGTATATTTTGGTAAATCTTTTTTTGTTTACAAACCTTAATGGACACAAATTACCCGTGCTCAAAACAATGGCGAAACATGTACAAGGGCAACTAGTCTAAATATTCTTGCATTTCTTTTTTCTCCGAATGGAATTCCCTGCTAGCAGAGGTCTCTCACGGCGAGGCAAAAATGAATAAAATAAGAACAAAATCCAACACCACTGTTTGTGCAAACTACTATAATTATCTACATTCAAATGAAATTTAACAGTATTGAATCCTTACCCACAACTGTTACTTCAACCGTTTTTGAATCACTTCCTTCTTCATTTTCTGCCAGTAGAGTGTATTGAAAGGTACCCGTCTGATTTAGTTGGAATCCTTTTATGACCAAACCGCCCTTCAAGGATATTGATGTATTCGTTAGAGTCAAGTTAATCGGTGGGGTACCTTCCAGCAGAAACCAGAGATAATGCTCTGGTACAGTTCGCAACTCCTTCAACGGTACCCTTATCCTCGGCTTTTCTGAAAAAGAAAATTTAGCAGGTTTTAAGATGTCCCGATTTCAAGTCATATCAGGTTGCAAGTTAATTAAATTAGAGTTAATTAAATCTACTTAAATAACACTCCCAAAGATAAGTTATTTCTTTTCTTGTAGAACATCACGCTTCGATCACGCTAAACGATACTCAAGAATTTTAGTAGCTAGATTGGAGGGTATTCGTGAGTTCGACGTTTGAGATAAGTACGGGCATACTTTTAATTTACACTGTAACTGAAATTGGTTTTCCGTAAGTCAGACATGCCTCGTGTTATCGTTTCCGGCCATCCCTTTGAAATTTAAACGTTTCAATACTATCTCACATTGTTGTAAAATGTCCCACTTTACAAACTCAGGAAACAATCAACTGATAGTCAGTAAGGACTGATAGAAAGAATACAGGAGAGCCGCATTTATGATATCAAGTACTTGATTTGAATCGCGTCATCAAATCGTTGCGCATTTAAACTAAGTTTAACATTATATACCAATAAAACGTCAGTTTTCTTGAACTGTCAATCGAAAAAGTTTGACCTAATGCTACTATAAAATTTTACTCCTACAACTTCCCAGAAAGTTTTTGACAACAAATAAGCGCTTCAGGCAAGGGGTTTGTTTACATGACAGCGTTTTCTGGAGTCAATGCTTTGATGTATTAACTGTGAAAGCACCTTCAAGTAAGGCCGCCGGGCCAGTAGTTGAATTGAATTATGCTTTTTTGTTGTTTTGGTCACAGTTGGTTATTTCTGAGAAACAAAGGTTTCCTTGGTATGCCACATTTACGCCACATTTCTCGCATTCCATTTTTTTCATTCATTCAATTTTAACGAGACCGTCAGAGGAAGGATTAAGTGTTACTGATCAAGAAGGAATAACATCTTAATCGTTTTTGGTCCCTTTTTTTTTTTCGGAAAAAATAAAACAAAACTTTTTTGATTTGTAAGGTCTACGTTACTATGCAGCCCTCGCCATTTCATTTTTTTTTTTTCGGAAAAAATAAAACAAAACTTTTTTGATTTGTAAGGTCTACGTTACTATGCAGCCCTCGCCATTTCCGTGTTTTCGTCATTCTGTACTCCACCACATTCCACGTTGAGTTTAATTTTTGAATGGAGAATACTTACGGTTCTGTACGCGTGCGTATCGTTACATAGCTTTGCTTATGTCAATAAATAACAAGCTACATTACATCTTTATCACTTGATTTAAATTGAGCTACCGGGAAAAGTAAAAGAAAATGTCTTAAAGGAGTAGTTTCAAAATTTGAGAGAAAACTTCGTTACCAAAGTATTCTTTTAAATGTTTCCTTAAGGTATAAAATTTATTTATTTTATATTATTTAACGATGACAGAGTGCTCTGTAAAATATTCCTCTGTTTTACAGTTTTTCTTTCGTTAAGCTTTCCTCTTTATGCAGTATTGAACGGTGACAGGCTTTAATTGTCACAATCAGAAGAACATTTTTAATATAGTTTTAATTTATTAATTTACTTGAAGGTATGAAAAATTGTCATCGCTTTTGAGACGCATTCAGTTATTCCACATCAGTTGGGACGTCCAAGAGCATGAGGAGCTAATTAGCATTCTTAGGCAGTTCTAGATCTTATTCTCTTACTAATATATAATTACTTTCGCTTACCTTTTCTTGAACTTATAAAAGTTCCCTTAAAGTTACAAGGGGTGAAGGAATACTCTTTTTGTAAAGTGAACATCATGAACCGACCACTTGTTTGTATGATGAAGGGCTGTCTTGCCCCAGTAAAAACTCCCAGTACGGTATCACTTTTCCCTTTTCCGTCATGGACCTGGATCTTAGCTTGACGCCAAATGGGATAATTAGGTAGACGAAATATCGTAAATTTCAGTTTGACGGTGTGGTTAGATGGTACAGTGATGAACCATGTACAATGGCGGTAGTACTTAGTTCCACTGGAGCTGATGAACCCACTGGAGCCATAAACAGAAAACGAACACGGTTGAACAACTGCAAATAAATGTGCGAAAATCAATTTTAAAAATCCCACAAATTTTACTCTCTTGACAGGCTAACTTGGGACGCTCAAAATCTTTTTAAAAATTATGAAAATTCTCTTCGCTTCCGTAGCATCAGATGAGAATTGATTTTCTTTGGATATTATATCGGCTGATGATAACTTGCTATAAAGTCATGTCATGATCGATCGTGTATTTAGGTATTTTTTGTAAACGTAAGCTCTATTAATAGTGATCATTCATGATAAACAGATCGCTTAAAAAGACTTCAGAGTAACTAATTTGCAACATTTGTTTGACTTTTGTCACTTTTGTTATTTTAATGAGTCAAAAATAATATATGTTTATGACAAAAGCCAAACAAACGAGAGGAATTCGTTAATAATTATTTCATTTTGTTTGTCTGAGTCTCAGAATTTGTTTGACTTTTGTCACTTTTGTTATTTTAATGAGTCAAAAATAATATATGTTTATGACAAAAGCCAAACAAACGAGAGGAATTCGTTAATAATTATTTCATTTTGTTTGTCTGAGTCTCAGTTCTTTTAAAAAGTAGCGCCATTGGTAACGAGGTAAACCAATGCAGAAAAACAAAGGAAATCAGTTGCATTTTGATTTGTTGACAAACATAGAGACTCACAAAGAGCCAATCAAGCGCAACCGTTGAGAACAAACTCCCCGCTCATAGCTATAGTTGAAAGCATATAACATTTGTCGACGTTGCGTTCGTAGAATAAGGGGAATTAACTAACTATTATTTAAATGATTAATGAAGTTTTGGATTGATTCAATTGTGCTTTTAAATTAAGAAGCTTGTTTGGTTTACGGCAAGGTTCTGAAAGGTACGCTAGCAAGGAAAGACTCGCTATTTAGTAATTGGACCTATTTGAATGGACTGAGTAACCCGTCCTAGATTATCTTACAACTTTTTGAAGGAAACAATAAAAAAGGTTGGTAATACGTAAAGATCTAATACTGATGAAATATGGTTTTTGGTGCAGAGATTTTCCAGACAGATTATGGTAGCGGATGATGTACATCATGCAACAACAAAATAAGCACACATGGAGTAATCTTGTTATATATAACTGTATAACAACAATTTCTGCATTTCGATTGGCTAACAGCGTATCAATTTATCCCCAACATTTTACTTGTCAACGACAAATTTATTATCAACTGCCCCCAAAGTAATGTGATTGGCCATACAAACACCTCAGTTTTAATGAATTATTTTTTTCTAGACCCAAGCTACTTTGTTATGACTACAAAACAAGGAGGAAAAAACCTTACAAGAGAACAACACAAATGAATCATATAATTTTACTTGCCTTCAGCTGTCCACACTGTCACCAAAATTAATCCAAGGAAAATTCTTCTTGGCACTGACATCTGCGAAAGAAAAAAAGTGGATTTTTTTTTACTGTTCTTGAGTTTGAGAACAATAATAATCTTTTACCGGCAAATGCAAAAGCTTTACATGAATGCTGCTAATCATTCCGGCCCTCATCTGTTCTTTGCGCATCTGCATGTGGTACTGTACACATCACTGATGTTGACTCTCTCGCAATAAAGTAAACACAGTACTAAGTAGTAACAAAGTACCTGTTATTAGGTCATTAAAGTTACTTTACTGATTGTCATGAGCTCGGAAAATTTCTGAGTTGCTTTGGCTGTCTAGTTAAAAAAAGGAATAATTACAAACGAATAACTATTTAGTGGTTAAACACATCCACATTACGTTTAATAATTCTTCGTCTACCATTCTTGATTAAATTGGAATTTAAATTGGAAAACCGTAGCAGCTGGAGAAAAACCTCTCAGGGCAAAGGAAAGAACCAACAACGAACATAATCGCATATGGCGTCGACACCGGGATTTCAACCCGGGCAACATTAATGGGAAGCGGTGCTCTCACCACTGCACCAACCTTGCTAGTAACTCACTCAAAAGGTAATGGCGCAATCCATTGCAACTGGCAAGAAGGGACCGAGTTAGAGTCGCATTATTAGAAAAGTGATGGGGAATGCAAGTTAACATGAGTGGAAAAAAAATTATGTAGACCCCTCCAAGTAGTCAAGAACATTTCTTTCCACCCTTCTTTTAAGGCTTCAGTCAATGAAGGTAAAGTATCTCACCAACTCCTTTTAAATGGGAAATTGCTAACAAACAGGAAATTCATATCGGATGGTAATAAACGCAGCCAAGGATTTGGTTTCAAAAAGCTTTCAGCTACGGAAGTGTTGGAAGCCACCATATCAAGCCTTAAACCGTGAAAGGCATTTGGCTTAGACGAAATCGTTATTGATCACAAACAAATCAAACACTTTGAACGTAAAGCTCTGTTGTTACACCTGCAAACCTATGATTAAATATCATTAAGGAAAAATTAAAACATAATCAATTTAAAATCTAACTTCTGTGATAGCGAAGCACGCGTGGACGGAGCCCCATAGCTAAGGAAATGTGGTAATCTACCCATCAGAGAAAATTTGGTAATCGCGTGACCGTTCGCCGACCATCCGTCCGCACCACAGGGAAACCAATGTTTACGCTCACACTTTCTAGCTAGTTTGGGAGCCCAAGAGAGAACTAATTGCACATCAATGTTGTGATCAATTGACAGTTGTCAAAACAGGATATCCGCTGACCAGTATCACCTGACCGTACCGCGGGCTCAAGTGCCGACCCATCGAGGTCGAGTACTTTTATCCGCTGAAGAATTACCGGTTTCAAATGATCGCAGGCTCAAGTTTATTTTTTTTCAATGATTCATATGAAATCTGTTGTGTTTATGTCACTATGGCCCCGCACTGTTAAGATTTTGATTTCAAACTGGCCTCGGACGCAAAAATTCAGCCAGTTATTTTTAAAAAAATACAGGTGGGGAAGACCTTTTCTTACCATGGTCACGTGTTGGTCACGCTCTACGTCCAATGTTTGTACTCTGATTGGTCAAAATTTGACAGGTCAGTTCATGCGTAAAACTTATGCAGCATCTTGAAAGTTGTTTACTTTGACAGCTGAAGCTGGCAGATTTTTGTGTCAACTTGTGATGTTTTTAACTGCTTTTTTCCACTGAATGTGCAAAATGAAATACAGCTGCTATCAAGAGTCTTCTGTTATTCATGGCTGGTTTGTTTATTGGGTTTTTGGTTGAGAAATGCGTCGCTTGTCAAACTTCGGTATTTCTATTTCGGATGGCATCTTTTTCGTTTTTCACCTTGCTTAATGCGCAAGAGGGTTTAAAAGTCTCAAGCAACTGTGTCCTTCCTTGATATCTTTCAGGAACTGAATTTCGAATGGTAAGCCTGGGTAATTATTGTATTTGATGTTTGTTTTTGTTATATCTAATTTCATGAAGTCGAGCACAGTTTATGCGGCAAGTTTAGGTATTAAAGATGTAAGATTTGAGTCAATGATCTGACCTAGCATCAGGTTTGATATAAGCTTACAGAACTTTAAAAGGCCTTCAAATATATTTTCTCACCGCAAATAGGAAGAAAACGTTCCGAAGAATATTTAGGTACAAATATGGCTGTAGGAAGAAAACTTTGAGCGATTTTCTTGCTTCGAGTAGTTCATCTTTGAAAAAAGCAAACACCGGGAGGCCCGCTGAAAGTAAAACAAAATAAACTTAAGCTTAAGGTTTAAGCTTGAAGACTCAGGATTTTTGGAGACACTTTAATACTTGTCTGCGTGAATGAAAATTGTTGTCTCTATAAATGTTTCACCGAATTATATTTCTTTTATCGGTTGTTAGTAGTCTCTCTCGCAATTTTAATCATTTGTCCGTGGCGTTTGTTTTCATCGTTTATGAACATCGCTTGCAGGAGTACTTAAAAATGTCGCAAGTATCAAACGCTTTATAAGATTACACATCGTTAATAATGATAATAAATTCGTTATTATGTTAAAGCGTATCTCTATTAAAGTTCATTTAAACACTCGACCACAGTGACAGCTCGCACTAGAAATGAGAACCGGCTGGCCGTATGGGTGATTTTGAAAAGTTTTTGAACGGTTTCGCTAAAAGCCCACGCTTGATCGTCCTGAACATTGACTGAGTGCAATTTGTCTTGAAAAATTGTGAAATACCGTATTCTGTCCGAGGTCTGTATGATATAAAATAGTACTGTTTCACCTCAGATGTGATGTATAAAAAGTATAAAGGGTTGGTTTACACACCCTCAGATCTGATGGCAAGAATTTGAGCATTGGCATTTTTTTGCCTCCCGGGTGTGGNTGTCTTGAAAAATTGTGAAATACCGTATTCTGTCCGAGGTCTGTATGATATAAAATAGTACTGTTTCACCTCAGATGTGATGTATAAAAAGTATAAAGGGTTGGTTTACACACCCTCAGATCTGATGGCAAGAATTTGAGCATTGGCATTTTTTTGCCTCCCGGGTGTGGGGACTTTTGAGCCGTCCTCCGTCAATACTGCAACATTTTTCATTGATCGCACAGTCGAATAGTTCCATTTTAAGCACTTTAAAGTGCGATTTTTTGTTTCAATCAACGTCTTCCTTTGTAATAGTGCTAGGATTCTAACGATTCTAACGACGACACGACTCGTCGTGTCGTCATGCACCAGTTTATGGTTTTAGTATTAATATAAATTTATTGACCTTAAATTAATAAAGCGCTGTAAAGTTATATGTTATGAATAGTTTTATAAATATGAAAGGATGTTCTTCAAATAATATCAACAGAAACTATGATTCAATAACCAAAAAACGTTGATAACTCCAATTTTGCTATGTAATAATTTTGGCTTGATAAGCAATGAAGAAATGTATGCATAAAATCGAGCACATGACTTTACAACCCTCTTCAATTTATTCCCGTCCTTGACAGACGAGCCAATCTGCTTTTTTTCCAGTAAAACCCTCTGTGTAGTTACATTCTGATAGGAAACCGCGTGCGTGTTTGAAAGCTCGGGAATGGCCCCGGGGTTGGCAAATGCCCGGCCCCCGGCAGTGAGAAATTTGCAAATGCCCCACCCCCGGGACTGACAAGGCGGGCAAATGCC